GTAGAACTATCTGACTTTTTCCTTTTTATTTTAACTAAAATAATTAGGTCAAAAGACTCCTGAAAGATCGGAGGTTGGAAACACTTGTTGATGCTGATCTAAATGGAAATTATGTTGACGATCAAGTGGAGCAGCTCATCCAAGTAGCTATACTGTGCACACAAGGCACCCTAGGGGAACGACCCAAGATGTCAAAGGTTGTCCGGATGCTAGAAGGCGATTGTTTGGCTGAAAGATGGGAGGAATGGCACAAAATGGAAGTGTTCCGCCAAGATTTCAACCCTATTCATCATCCATGTACTAATTGGATCATAGACTCGACTTCTCATATTTCTCTGAATGAGTTGTCCGGTCCCAGATGATATGCTCGTTGGTTCCGTCCCCTGTATACATGTAAGAAGCCTTTAGAGGATTGGAGAATGTCCATTTTGTATTTCAGTGATACAACATTTGTGCATATGTTTTGTCTTTGTTTTCAATTTTGTTTTTGTCTTGCTTATTTTTAAGATCACAAAAATGGAGCTAGTGCTGTTGTAATTTTTATAGGGTTCACTAGCATTACGAAGTTATATGGTGCTAGCTGGAATTAGGAAGGGCCACAAAAGCACATGTTCCTAATGATTTATGTATCTATCTAGAAATTAGGTCAGATTGTCGAGTAAATAATCATTATGAACTCATAACTATCTATATTTTTGAGTGTTCCTATAGATCCTATAGACACTAGGTCAAGTGCGTGGGTACTTGTGGACGGTTGGTGTTTGAAATTTGATTGTGATCATTGCAAGTCCGACTTTGTGGCACTACCCTTATAAGTACTAGAACTAAGGTATTAAGGGATCTAGAGATCATTGCGTGTCATTCCAACATGGGTATTCGAGCTTTGTCCATCTTCTTTTAGAGTATCGTCAATGGGGACACCTTTGATATCTTTGAGGATTTATTTAAGACCAACTGTAGGGTAAGACCCAAACCTAAATATTTGAGTTTAAACAAAATAGAAATGCAATCTAATTGGGGGACTTTTTTGATTTTTTTGAACAAAAAATATTTTCTACACTAAAAGGGTAGGGGATTGAGTTAGGCCTTATAGTGGGCTAGCAATAATATGGTTTAAATTCGCTTTTGGCGAGAATCAAACCTAAAGACCTCTCAGTTATATGTGAAGAGGAAAACCACTAAAATGTAGTAAAAATGATATCTAATGGTTGAACTTAAACCTAAAAAGTTTGGATTTTGACTCAAGCTAAACCCAAATTTGGATTTGTATTTCCATATTTGGTTGACCCAAAATTTTGGGGGCCTTACCTTTTTTTTTCAGAAGCAACAGGCGAATGATTTATTGAAGTGGCCGACAGATGGGTCTCTCAACTGGCAGGGTCCTAGCTACAAAATGGTAACATTTTAAGAAACTACGAGCCGTTCGATTTTTGGGCCATTGATGATCAACGGTCTAGGTTAAAATCCTTTTATGCTTTGCAATTTTTAGATTTTGATCTAATTGTTCGTATATTTTTTTTCAAATCTAACAATAAAATAAAGTCAACTATTGAAATTTAAAATTCAACATCAAAATAATAAAACAAATTTTTTTAGAACATATTCACTTTACTTTTGGATGGTGTGTATTGAAGTTTCGTTGGTTGTTTGTATTGTAACATCCCACATCGCCTAGGTGGTGGATCCTGTAAGTCTTATATGTATATTCTCATCTCTACCTAGCACGAGGCCTTTTGGGAGTTCGCTGGCTTTGGGTTCCGTAGGAACTCCGAAGTTAAGCGAGTTCGCAAGAGAGCAATCCCAGGATAGGTAACTCACTAGGAAGTTCTCGTGTGAGTTCCCAGTACCAAAACCTTGAGGACGTGGTCAGGACTCAATGCGGACAATATCGTGCTACGGTGGAGTCGAGCCCGAGATGTGGTGGGCCCCGGACCGGGATGTGACATGTATACTGAAGATTGATTGGTGTGTGTATTATAGTTTGATTAGTTGGTGTGATCTGTTCGGTTTTGAAAATTTTGTCGAAATTTAATTTTTTTAATGTCAAAACATTTGTCAAATTAAATTAAAATAATATGATTCAAAAGTTCAAAAAAAAAAAAATCTCTTTATTCCTAAATTTGGATCTTGATAGTTGGGTGATATTCATTGTTCATAGACTTAAATTCCATCTTTTAATGGACTAAATATTTGGGTTTGGGTCTAAGAGTTGGAGCTGGTCTAAAGACTTTAATAAAATCTTTTTATTCCCAAAAGAGTATTGCCTCATATGATAAAGTCCCTATAGTATAAATCCTAAATTAGAAGTTTACATAATTTTATGTGATAATTTCAGTAGAAGCTAATTCTTTTAGTTAATTGAATTGATTTTATTGTAAAATATTTTTTGCGAACAATATTACCCAAAAAAGTTCAAAATTCTCGAAGCCAAATTTTATTCTTTAGAACTACAATAGCTTCACTATTGGCTATGTCATGGTCTATTATTTCTAATCAGAATCAGACTTCGACTCTTTGCAACCCTTGGTCAACTAAATGAGTTATTAATTAAAAGCACTGTTCTAAAAATTTCCACCTAGCGCGCTTAAGCCCCGCCTAGGTGTTAGGCAGCTGGTCACCACGCTGATTAATGCCTAGGCATTTGAAAATTAAGAAATGACTCATAAACCTACTGACGAGCCCGCCAAGACCTGCCTAGGCACCCGCCCAGGTTGCTACTCATTTAGATTGAAAATAGATAATTTTCATTTTGCATTTATTTTTTTCAATAAATAGTAAGAGACTTGTTGAATACTTAAATGAACACACATTATATGTTTGTTTCCCATGTTTTTATTATGTTCCAATAACATAATATATATGTCATTTTATTTTGTAGTTCATAATGAAATTATATATATTTTAAGTATAAATAGATATTTATTTACACGAAATATAATAGATATAATTAAATCTGCCTCGTACGCCTAGGCACCTGCCTGGATCCCGCCTAGCCACCTAGGCGCTCGGCCCCAACCAGCTACCTTACTAGCGTCTAGCGTCTTTTAAAACCTTGATTAAAGTAACTTGATAATAATTTTGTTTTCAATTTTTAATTTTTACTTTTTACTTTTCTATTATGAAATTAACCAAAATAGTTCATGAAATTAGTATAATTCATCAATTTGGTTCCTGTGATTTGAAATTACTAGAAGTGATCCCTGAGTTTGTTAATTATCAATTATTTTAGTTATTCCATTAAAAATATCCATTAAATAAGGATCAAATGATAAAAATAACCTCAATTCAATAAACAATTGACCATAATAATTTGACAAAAAAAATTGAAGATAATTTTGTATTTTTACAAAATAATCAAAATAATTGAAGATGAATAAAATCAGAAATCTCACAACAAAGCGAGGAATTGCATAACAACTTCAGGAATCAGCTAAAAAGTCAAAGATAAAATATAAACAAAAGAAGAAATGAACCTGCCCACGCGATGGGCTGCGACTTTGACTGATTGAGAGTCCTCCATCCGCCTGCTCCTCCGTCGTCCTCCCAAACCTTTTACCTTTCTTTCTTTCCTCTCCAAAACTAGCGAGCTGAGATTTCAACCTCTCTCTCTAAGAAGCAGCGGCTTTCTTTTCCAAACGCAATCTGCAATTTAATCAAACAGCCACCGAATTTTCTGGAATCCGGTCAACGAAGAGATGCTTCGGATTTTGATCGGTTAACGCCAGCTGCTTACCTGAGCTCCAACAGACCCAACAGCGATGATGTCCTCCGCCTCTGTTTCTGTATGGCTGATTCTGCTGTTTGGCTTCTTTCACCTCCATAAGCTCGCTGCCAACGTAGAAGGTATGTCTGTGTCTATGTGTTTTTGAATTTGGGTGTGTTTGATTGCGGGAATTGGAATGAGCTAATGAATGAATGAATGAATGATTGGATTTGACAGGTGACGCATTGAACGCGTTGAAGACCAATCTAGCTGATCCAGACAATGTTCTGCAGAGTTGGGATCCGACTCTCGTCAATCCCTGCAGCTGGTTTCATGTCACTTGTAATAGCGAAAACAGCGTTACTCGAGTGTAAGCAAACCCAACAAACACCTCCTTTTCAATTCAGTTCAATTCAATTCGATTCAGCTCAGTTCAGTTCAGTTCAATTCACTTGTAACAGCGGAAATAGCGTTATGCGAAGTTTTTAACATTTTTGCTCCACCCAGTGATCTTGGCGGTGCCAATCTCTCTGGTCGACTGGTGTCACAGCTTGGTGTGCTTTCCAAGTTGCAGCACTTGTAAGTGTGTTTTTCACTCTGCTTTTTTGTTCGGGTCTTATCCAACTGTTCCATCACTGTGCATTTGAATTGAAATTGGTATCGATACACGACGAATGAATTTCACTACTGCATTTGACATTATTGAAACACTCTTTCTTGATAGGGAACTTTACAATAATAACATAACTGGAAACATTCCGGAAGAGCTTGGGGGTTTGTCGGACTTGGTGAGCTTGGATCTTTACTTGAACAATTTACATGGTACCATTCCAGCGACACTTGGCAACCTTGCAAAACTGCGTTTCCTGTATGAACCCCCATCCTTTTGTTAGATAAAATCTGTCGTCTTTATTTTTTATTTGATATGCTAATTATGCTGTTTTTAATTGTTCCGTTGGGGTGACTTTCATCCTTAAAGTGCATGATAGCATTTCGGCTCAACCCAATATTGTGGTAAAGGCATAGCTTGAGTTTTGACTTTTTCTAGGAATGGGTCCTAAACAGTAAAGGGCCTTAACACCGGAATATTTACAGAAATACACTAGCAATAGACCCCGCGCGATGTCCTGTGATTTAAAACTATGTTAAACATGTGCAAATATATGAAAATCTAATTATATCCATATCAAAGAAATATCTATTTACATCCTCATATCCAATAAGGAAAAAAGATATGTATGTATGTATGTATGTATGCATGTATGTATGTAGGATATATCACATATTAAAATCTGTCTACGTCCTTACCAAAGTATATTTGCATCCTTATGTGTAATAATGAACAGATAGGTATTTGAAGAATACATTACATAGAAAAAGTTGTGGATTAAGTTGTTCATACAAATACAATCACATAAAAATATATTCATTTTCCATGTTCCAACTCATCACACTACATTCAGTACTTCACTCTTCTTTCTTCTTTGTTTTTCTGTAGATGAGGATGTACATTTTTCCTCAAGTAATCTGTTCAAGATAAATACATTGGTTAGGCTTCTGAATCATATGAGCCTTTAACTGGCTTACAAAAATGCTCATTTTTCATATGAGAAGGACAACCAGTTTAGAGTTTCGAAAGATAAATAAAAATTCCAATTCTCACCAAGAAAAAAGAGCCGAAGAAATACAATGGGTTTTAGGGAGATACGAAGTCTTTACCAACTAACAAATGAAGTAAATCATATTGTTCAATACTTGAGCTTCCAATTTAGTACACTTACATCTTCAATCTCTGACAAAACAAAACAAAAAAGGGAAAAATCATTTAGTACACTTACATCTCTGACACAACATGTTTAAGATGCATGAACCCAACTAAATTGCTTCACCGTTCACCTATATCCTCGGTGCTATAAATTCGAATTAAAAACCAGTAAATAAAAGTGGTTAAGCTAAAACCCTCACTTCTCATTACATGTTGAAATTTCTTTAACCTCGAAACCTACTCCCACTGTGTTACTTTTGTAGTGCATACGCTACAAAAACCAAAAAGAAAATGCTGCAAAGGGGAAATTGGAAAATCATACCACCATCAAACATTGCACGGAAGGCATCTGAAGAAGCAAGCAGGCGAGTTCTGTGAGCATACCATCTACCTGCAATTGGTCAGTAAACAATAAAAAATTTAAAGAGGTCCTTTATGTTAACAATACAATCACACATGCTAATTGAATACTCTATAATTAAGAAAAAGAAGAGGAACTCACGATGTGCTCCTTGAAAACTGGCGAGAGAGAACTGGAACTGGGTTGGAACACCCCAGCCTTTTCAGCCTCGTCATGAAATAATTTTAACAATTCGGTCAAGCATAAAACCATCTGCCAATTATGGTTTTTGTAAATTATGTAGAAGCCAAAAATCTAATAAATAGTCTAACAATAATGGAAAACCTCACGAAGGATTAAGAATCTTTTTACCTCTGCCTGTGGACAATCTTTTTTACTCCTATGCAAGGCGGTTGGGATTCATGAGTGTACCTGCCCTTCTAAGATGCAAAATATAAGAACATGATGTAAATGTCAGAAAAATAGAAGATCACATTTTTTTTTTTTTTTTCAAATGCAAGAAAAATTAAATCACCTATATAAAAATATACAAACTCGGTAATGTACAGAAAAATTCCAAATTGCAAAACAGTAAAATTCAACACAAAACCAAAATAACAAGAAGGTATATTAAGTAGCAAAAAGTATTTAAATTATAGGATTTGAGAAATTTTAAGCTAATGGGAAATTCAATAATATTCTTGTATCCAATTAATACTATTCAGGTTTTTATGATATTCTATATAATTGTAAAATTATCTAGCAGAAATTTAAACATTCATTACTTTCTATGTCCATATACAACCCTCAATATATGAATCGACCAATCTGTTAGTTTGCTCTTATGATCTTTAAAAGCATTCCATAAAACCTAAGGTGTTCATGTTGCCGATGATAAAAATGAGTGTAGCACAACGAAAGAATATACATATATATAGCATAATTGTGATGCTACATACTGACCTGGTAGACGAGATGACTTTGTGTTCATTTGGAAATTGGAGTCAATTATTGGGCACCCTGCCTCCAGAGCTTTCAATGGTAGATTGGTGCGACTTGCCTAAATTGACAAAATTTGGCTGGAATTGAAAATTAATATCGAGTCAAGATATAATTCAACTTCGAATTGAAAACACCAACTTGTCTAAATTGACAAATTTTGGCTTGAATTGAGCTAGCAGTTAGGGTTTGAATTGGAATTCAAAAATTTGATGCATATCTTCATATGCAATAAGCGTGTTGTGCATTGCATTTGAATAATTTATTTATAACCCTATTTTTAATAAACAAAATAGGTATCAAAGGGAATGAAATTTGTATTTTAAAAGAACAAAATAAAACTTACTACCTACAAATTTCAACAGAAATACAAAAAGATTCACAAAAATTTTGGGGAAGGTTTCCAATATTATTGCACCCTCTACAACTTTATGAAGCATTGAAGAAAACCAAAACCAAATTCCGAAAACTGTAATTAACTATCTTGTACAATTGAAACTACACTGGAAAATGTTAAATCCTTAGGCAGACATGTAATCCAAAATGAAGAGAAATTTGAAAGATTTAAGTCTTACCAAGCAATAGATTGATGTCTAAGAAGCTAAAAAAAATGATATACACATAAATAAAATTTAAAATTTTCCATCACACCATTGTAATTAAATAAAGCAAATACACAGTATCATATCACAATCACAAAAGCAAGGATTTTAAAACGCCACAATATTTAACAACTACTATGCACAGTTTTTTAAAAAATGAGTATAAGATTAACCTTTATAGAACACCTAATTACTTCCAAATGAGATACACAAAATCTGAAATTGCACCTATCCAAAGTTAAAAAAACAAAACTAATTAAATAACAATTAGGCAAGAACAACAACATGCGACAAACAAAATGAAAACACCATAATCATATCATGGTTGAGAATTTCTAATTTATTAGAATTAGGGATCCATTAATACAACCATGTCACATGCACTAATTTTTTTTATTTGGCCAAAAACAGAAAAAACTGAAAACACCAAATTAAAAAGAGTAGGCAAATGAAGAACATTCACACCCATACTTATCAATTTACACATAAATTTCAATTTTGAATCATTTGGGCTTGCAAAAAAATGCATAGAAATGCAAAAGAAGATGAACAAATTGAAGCAGAGTTAAATGTACTGGGCAATCACGACTCACCCGACATTGCTATCCAGCTCTGTTGCATGTAACACCTTACAATTGACACCACGTTTACAAAGGTTTTGAAAGGCTTAGATTCAACTTTCAAATATGTAAGACTCTGAGCTTCAAAACCAAAACAAACCCAACTGCACTTTTAGTTCACCCACCCCGTTGAATAAAATCCAATTCAATAAAACAACAGAAAATTAAACAACCCAAAAATCAAAACAAGCCCACTTGTAGTTGTAGCTCACTAATCCGTTGGATTAATTGATGCCAAATTCATTCAGAAAACATACAATTAACAACCCATAAGAGCCATCCAAAAACCCAACCAATTAACCAAAAAATACCACTTGTACTTTTAGCTTAGTCTTCCGATTGAATCAGATCTATCATCAAATTTCAATCAGAAAATAGAAAATTAAGAACAGCCCAGAATTTCCACTCACCTGCTGTGAAACTCATCCCTGTTGAGCAGCAGTAGGAACGAGTAAACTGGGTGACATATACAACTAATTAAAACACTCAACTTTAGCTGCTTCAGCTACATAACAGAAAAAGGTTAATTTTACTATAATTAAGTAATCTGGTTTAAGACTAATAAAAAAAGCTTGGGAATTTCAGCCGTAAAATCACACCTCAAGCAGCAACTCGACAAAGTCTGCGAAATTAGAATCCAAAATGCGATCTTCAGTCTTCCGGCTTCTGTTGCAAAAATTAATCCCACAATCCCCAAAATATTAAAAACTTGAAGTTTGATTTGAAATTAAAAATGCATTCTTTGAAGATAAATTCCAAAAATTCAAAATTATATGCGAGAGAGATACCTTGTTGGTATTCGGAGTTAGAGTGAGGAGTTCTCGAATTGGGAGCGGCGGAGTTCCGTTGCAAATTTTCTTCCCACGGGTGAAATGGTCCAAACGAAATTAAACAAATCAAGCAGGATAAACAGTGTTTCAGTTGTTTTTGTATTATATAATTTTAATTTTAAGGGGAAATAGGAAAGAATTCCCGAGACTTTGACTAACATCCAATCATTGCAAGTCCTGTGAGTGTCATACACTTTCATCGCAGTAAGAGGGAGGAGAGAGAGAAAAGTTACTAATTTCTCTGCCATCAGAGCATGCAAATAACATATAGTTTTGCCATGGAATGCAGGGATCTTTCAAATAACAATCTGTCAGGGGATATTCCAGTCAATGGATCTTTTTCACTTTTGACTCCCGTAAGGTTTGTTGAACCCACTTTATTTTTTTTCTTTACCTTTTTCCGGCGGTGGCCGTCCCAGCGGACGATCTGAATGATGGACTGGCTGCTATTCTTCGTTTTGCAGTTTTGCCAATAATCCTCGTTTGAATCCACTTCCAGCCTCTCCACATCCAGGTTTTTACAACTTATACTGTTCTTGTGATATTAACTCAAATTTGTTTTGAGAACATCAGAGTACTATACTACAAAATAAGAATATTATTAAACAAATAAAAATGCTACAACGGTTACAAAATTTTAAAAGACTACATTGTGACATATTTGTTCTAAGAGGAATAACAGGCATCCTATTTATAATAAACTATAACCCTAATCTCTAACAAATCCTAATTTTAACGGCTGACCTCAAATCCTAAACTTATTACTTTCCGGCTGGCTCTGTTTTGTTTCACAGACACTTGTGATATCGACTCCAGTCCATTGGTAGTTAATGTTTTTTCTTGGTGTTTTTCTGTTAAATTTTTTTCATGGTACAACATTATTGTTGGAATCACTGCTGTAAAGATTCTAAGAAGATGCTAGTTAGGAAAGGAATGGATTGAGGATCCGAGGGGATACTCCTAAATTCCTATGAGTGTGAAGAAATGAATTAAAACAATGACATGTGAGAGAGAGTTCATCATATAACATCCGACTTTTAAGGATTTTCATCTCGTTCTGGTTCCTGTTGTGCAAATAACCCTTCCTTTTTAACTATGGTGATTCATATTAGGTGCCGGATTCGGTGAAATAGTGTCCGGATTCCGTATCGGTACGGACGTACCATTACTTTAGCGATTCGGTGGTGAATTTAGTGGTTCATCTGATCATCTCTAATAATTTATAATCAGATTACAGAAACTGAGAAAAGTAAACGCACCTGTAATTTTTGGAAACAGAGGAGTGAAACAACTGAAATTTTGGGAAGCCCGGTGCTTTTGGTTTTCATCGGGCAGACAGAAAACGAAGAGAGAGAGGAAGATAGAAAATTTTACTTTCGCTTTTTGGATTTAATTCTTTTGATTCGAACGAAATTTCTTGAATTGAGGAAGCAGATCTCTTGCTATCTACAACTCTCCAACAAACCCAATGACTGTGGCTTCCAAGGTTGTTAATTTTCACCTCTTTTTTCGAATTTTCACCAGATAAGACTGTTAGAGATTTGCAATGGGGTGGAGAGATTACGTGTTTGTACAAGTGGTGAGATTTTTGTGTTAAAATATTAATGATATAAAAAATAAAATTTTTCACCATTTATATAATAATACACCATTTATGTTACGGACACAAGAAAAAAATTCAATGGAATAGGTCTATCAACACTCTTTTCTTCTTGTATTAATGGAGGGACCCATCTGCAGTGTTGATTTTTTTAGAGAAGATGTAAATAGTCGGTGGCCCATTGCATTTCCCAAATTCCATATTAATTTGAGAATATTTATATTATTCTTATTAGAAAGTTAAGTGAATTAATTGTTTTTGATTTGTAAAATAATTGCTTACAAATAATCAATTCTATTAAACAAAAATAATTTCTTACAATGAACAATAACTATAAATTATTGTAAAATGTATATGTATTATAAATATTTTTAATTTATATTTTTTAACGAATTAAGAATGAATCGAATTGAATATCATATTGTCTATGTGTACTCTCTAACGAATAGTACCATAGGTTACAACCGAATTACGAACTCGCACCGTGCCACTTATACTGCGGCTATTGCTGGAGGGGTTGTTGCTGGTGCTGCTTTGTTTGCTGCAACTGCAATTGCACTTGCTTATTGGCGACGAAGAAAATCACAGGATCATTTATTTGATGAACCTGGTTAGTGAACTATAAGAGTAATATAGCTTGATCCAGTTGGTGTTGTAGTTGTTGTATGGGATGCAGGTTTTACTAATCTACTGTCTTTGCAGCTCAGGAGGATCGAGAAATTCATTTACGACAGCTCAAAAGGTATTCTTTGCGCGAGCTACAAGTTGCGACGGATACCTTTAGCAATAAAAATATTATTGGTAGAGGTGGATTTGGTAAGGTTTATAAGGGATGCTTAGCAGATGGAACTCTGGTTGCTGTAAAAAGACTTAAAAAGGAGAGAACCCAAGGTGGGGAGCTACAGTTCCAAACAGAAGTTGAAATGATTAGCATGGCTGTCCACCGCAATCTGCTTCGTCTGCATGGTTTTTGCATGACACCAACAGAAAGGCTGCTTGTATGGCTAATGGAAGTGTGGCATCATGTTTAAGAGGTACTCATCTAAATTGTTTGCTGCGTTGATAAATCTTTTTGTTTTCACAACATTAAATTTTTTATGGATTTCATTGATAAAATGAATTTAAAAACCCGACTAATTTGGTTTGGAGTATCAGCACTGATTTCTTTTAATATTTTTTTTTCCTTCAATTTAAGTTACCTTCTCGATGCTGATTTATTTATTTCTGTTTAATTTGAAAAGAATGACAAGATGACCCTTTTTTGGGTAGGACAGGTGGTATGATATGCGTTAGACCACACTACTTGTTGCTTGTAATTTGAAATTCTCCTCTCATAGTATGTGGATATATTGTTGTAGATCGTCCAGAAGGACAACTTGCACTTGATTGGCCAATAAGACAACGCATTGCATTGGGATCTGCAAGAGGTCTTGCTTATCTACATGATCACTGTGATCCAAAAATTATTCACCGTGATGTGAAAGCGGCAAACATATTGTTGGACGAGGAATTCAAAGCAGTTGTTGGAGACTTTGGGTTGGCTAGACTCATGAACTACAAGGATACACATATTACCACAGCTGTACGTGGCACAATTGGTCATATAGCACCAGAGTACTTTTCACATGGAAGGTTTTCCGAGAAAACTGATGTTTTTGGATACGGAGTCATGCTTCTTGAACTCATCACTGGGCAGAGGGGTTTTGATCCTCAGCTTGCGAGTGATGATAATCTCATGTTAGTTGATTGGGTATGCACTTACGTCTTTCTGTTTGTGTATGTAGCTAACTTATTGTTATATGCAAGATTATTTCCCAACGACATTTGCATGAGGTCCACCTTCTGATTATATATTATCATTCTAAATCTTCCATAATATCTTTCATATTTTATATCAAAAAAGACATAATGTTGTTGAAATTCAACGATATTCTAGCTTCAATCTATTTTGTGTCCCTAAGTCCAAATCTTGGAAATTATCAAAGTTTCAATACTCAGATTGTTGTAGAAATGTTATATAATGTACTGTAAATTAGAAGCCTCTCTCGTTACCAATGTTGCTTTTTATTTTAGCTGAAAATAATGTGTCTCCTTATTTATTGATTTTATTTCAAACCGCTAATCTCTTATGACGTTCTAAATCATTTTGTATGGAACATTTCTGCAATAAGTTTAGTTCTTTCTAAAGATACTTTAAAAAACTATTACTCTTTATGCAGCTGCCAAGTTCCTGTTTGATTAATGTATAAATCGCTTGTCTTTTTTGGCCGAAATGTTGAAAGCAGTTTGAATCATGGATCGAAGAAAAAAAAACTAATTAGCTTTTAGAAAATAAGTATGGTTTAATTAGCTTTTATTAGTTAGAGTTATGATTAAGCTGTGAAGATTTATTTATCTTTATGTATAACAGTCTAACGTTTAATTTGTCAGAGATTAATTTTTACGTTTCCTTTGTTACTATTATTGTTGCTTCCTTTGCCAATATATTGGCCTTGCTGTGATTTCTTGAAGAATTTGGCATATGTTTCTTGAAGAATTTGAATTCATCATCTCTTTATTCTCACTATCTTGGCCTCTCGCTTCTTTCTATTCTCCCTATTTGCATCTTTGTCTTATCTTTGCATCATACCAATATTTGAATGACGATACATTTTTGTAAGAAGTTTGATTTTCTGGAGAAAACGGAGAGAACAATGGCCCTTCAAATTTTGAACATTACATTTTACTCTCCTATGTGCCCTCAGCTTTTGTTTCAAATTGTAGAACTAGCTGACATTTTCCTTATTATTTTGACTAAAAAAATTAGGTCAAACGGCTACTGAAAGATCAGAGGTTAGAAACACTTGTTGATTCTGATCTAAATAGAAATTATATTGACGATCAAGTAGAGCAGCTGATCCAAGTAGCTCTACTGTGCACACAAGGCTCCCCAAGGGAACGGCCCAAGATGTCAGAGGTTGTCCAAATGCTGGAAGGCAATGGTTTGGCTGAAAGATGGGAGGAGTGGCAGAAAGAAGAGGTGTTCTTGTGAAACCCCGTCCCTAGATTTCATTGTTTAAAATAAGGTATTTTGTATTCCTAATTTTGATGCATTTATATGTGTGGCGTTTGTTATTTTTTTTTTTTGAAAATGGGTAAAAGACGAAAATGCCCCTCTTGTGCTAAACGGGATTTTACATAGACGTATTTGATTCTTTGTATTTTTCTATTGTTCTTGGCATATTTAAATATTACATGTAACTATAAACGCGCAAACGGATTAGAGTTTCAAATTCAAATGAGAAGGTTACGAATTTTCTAAATAAAATGACATTTTGGTAAATTAAAGTGGAACTTTCTGGAAGCCAATGGCTTTCTTTTTCTTCTTCCCTGTGTGCAAAACCAGCAGCTTTGCTGCTGTGTTCTTCTCCTCTTTAATTCTCCTTCACTCCAAAAACTTCATTGAATCATAACTTTTTCGTACGGCAATGAAATCACGCACGGTCGAAGTCTATGTATTCGTAGCGCAGCCCTTTTCATTTTGATACCAAACCCATATGCTGGAACCAAGCGTGCCCATATGTTGAAGCCCAGAAGCTTGACGATTTTCGTAGTTTTTTTCGCCGATTCTGGCTAACCTCGCTGGGGATAGGTCTCGACCCAAGAGAGAAAAATACTCCCCTCTTTATGCGCTTCCAGGATATGTAAGTGGATCTTCCGAATTTCAAGTTTCATTTTTGAACAAGTTTGAGATTTATGTGTTTAACTTGAATTTCCGGTGTTCTTGTTGAGGAGTTGTGGTGGTGACATTGATTTAGCTAAGTGGTAGATTGATGAACAACTTTGGAGGAGTTTGGAGGGCAGGACAAGAACAAGAAAAGGTACATACTTTAATTTTACTGAATTGTTTGTAGTCTTTGGCTAAAAGAGGAAGGATTATGCATGATATGGCTAAAAGAGGAAGGATTATGCAAGAAAAGGTACATACTTTAATTTTACTGAATTGTTTGAAATATAAGTTAAATATGATGCCTGGATAGTTTGGGATTGCCATGAAATTGTAAATTGGATTAAACGAGTATGGGTTCTACAATGCACAAAACTTGTTCATTTTGCAGAGAGAAACTATGTTTCAAGTAGCCTACTTTGGCTCTTGATTTCTATGTCCTTGTGAGTTCCTTTTGATCTAATATTGTGTGTTTTGAAAATAGACATGTCCGTGATCAAAACCCTTCTGATTTCACTTAATTCTGTTGTATTTTGATTGATCAAAAATCATGTCCAAAGTTGAGTCACAGGGCTGCCAGACAGCAGCAAGTTTTGTATTTCCAGTTTTGGGACTCCATTTTATAGTTGGAATAACTTTCAATTTAGGGCTTCGTTCTCTACGACTATTATATGATTTTAAAGTACACAAAACAAGCCTCCAAAAACCATTTAAGATGGTACCATTTGGTTCAAATTTGAGCTTTCATTATGAGCTTAAACTTGGTTGATCAAAGCAGTTACATGCAACTTTTGTATAGAAGAAGAGTGTTATTTCTACATTATGCAATTCTTATCCGAGTCTTTCTTTAAATTACTTTGCTTTATACTAGTGTTGTTATTTGAAGTATAAGTTGTACTAAAATAATGCCTATGCTACACAAGTTAATAAATTGTAATTACTCACTTCCAGCTTAAATTGATTCCTTCCAGGTTATTTCCGTCTGACTTCTGATTAGCGTCACAAATTTCTCTCTGACTTCTGATTTTTGAATTTGTGCTCAGTTTTTTGTTTGTTGAGATTTTCGGCCTACGGTCTGATTGACGTTGGGTTTGCTGGAGTTTACAGGTCTATGTGTGCAGCAAGCAAAATCCTTTCATTCATATGAGCTTCTTGGGCCTCTTTACCTTCACAGCAGCTTACCTACCTGGGTCAGTAGTCTTAAATTGATTTCTGATTTCTGTTGTTGAATGTTTATCTTAAAATGATTCCTTCCAGCTTATTTCCGTCTGCTGATCTTTTGGCTCCAGAATACCATATGGAGACATATCATCTTTCTCTTCTCTCTCTCCGTCTGTCTTTCTCTCTTTATGAGCGCTGTCTTTCTTTGTTTAGGTGCGCACCATCAGGGGTCGGGCCGTAATTAAATCTTATCTTTTTGCTATATTTCTTTTACTTTTGAGTATTATGAGGGTGGGATTTTAGACTTATCAACGACATTATAGGGTCATGTGCAGGTGTTGTGTTTAAAACTTCTTTTTTTCACGAGTTTTTATTAAGCTTTGTGACTTTTTTTTTTTGTATCTGTTGATTTCTAAATTACTATAATTAAGAACAAAATTAGTGAATTTATAATTTGCTGCTTAGCTTAACACGATCCTTGAATAAACTGTAGAAAAAGAAACAAGTTTTGCTGAAATCAATTTAAAGGCACAATAACAAAGGTATAAAAAAAAAATCTATTGGATGATGTAATTTGGTTTGGATTTGTAAAGTACGCTTTTCATTGTGGATTAATTGTTTAAATAATTTTAGATTATGCTGATTGTCTGTTTTCTCTTCTACTTATTTTGTGTTTTCCAACTATTTTTCTGTAATTACCTTTTGTTTATATTATAGGACAGGTGTGTAATTCTTATTTTGATAATTTTTTCTCCTTTCTCTCTTTGATACTTTGCATGTGTATTCACTTGGGAAAAATACTTAAGTCTGAATGATATTAATGCTGCAGGATATATTTTCTTTTGGAGCCATAAAATCTAAAACAGTTTTCCAAGTATACAACGAGGTTGCTGGCCTTTCAGCGCTTGACTTTGGTTACACAGATAACACTGCAGTATACCATGCAAAAGGTTTTTTTCCTTCCCTTTTGCCCCTTTTTTGGGATATTAGTTACAAAATCTGTTTAGAGCATAGATGTGAAATTTACAGGACGGGTTAGTAAGTTAATTAGTTAATTTGATTCTCAATGGATGTGAGTTATTGCGATTTGCAGAGATAGACTAAAGACTTAAGGAAAACAATGTTTGTTTTGAGTACTTCTCACGCCACCGAGGCACAAATGTTGTTCCTGCATTAATTAATTTTCTTTATATCGAAATTAAATAAATTTAATTTTCCCTAATATCCAAATGTATTGAAGTAATTTTGATTGAAGTTTGTTTATGTCTGCTTTCCAAGATTCAATTTTTGGTTACCAGATATCTCACTCTATTTACGGTGTGCTTTTTTTAGTTAATTGAAAAAAAGGCTTTTTATTCTTTGGTTTTCATGACTTCATTTACCGTTTATAAGTCAACCCCGCAATACCAAAGTACAAGAGAAACAAAGATTAGAGGTAATTTTTGCTCTAACTTGGAATAGTTTCTAAGATTTGTATTGTGCAATTGGCCAGTGTTAACTACTAAATCGATTAAAAAACATTATGTAGGGGCTGCGCTGCCATTCAATTACCTATGGAATTTATGACATGCAATCAGTTTCTTTTTAGTTGAGTTCAAATAATGTTGATTGCGCTGTTATAAAGCTCTTTTTTCTTGTTAGGTTGAAAATCTTATCGATATATTCTTTATTTAGTTGGTCCAATTTGTAACATATGAGATTGTTTTGTTTGATGTTTCAATCAAAATTTGATCATTTTTTTTTGTTTTTTTGTTTTTTGTGAAATTATAATGGAATTGCAAGTCAAGTATATTTTAGACTCTTGGTTGCATACTCACCTTCCCACAACTATTATATTATCTCCTGACTGGATGGATTTTTATAATTTCCTGGATCTACGGTTACAATGCTTTTTATAATTTCCTAGATCCATCCTTTTTGTTTGTTCATGATTATGTTGAATGTTTTTCAAGTTAAATGTGTCTTGTTCATGTAGTTAAGGCAGGTATATTCAAGTCCTGCAGCATCGCGCGGGCATATTACTAGTAAATCCTAAATTTGAAGTTTACATAATTTTATGTGATTATCTCATTGGAAGCTAATTCTTTTAGTTAATTTAACTTTATTTTATTGTAAAATATTTTTTGTGAACATTACCAAAAAAGTTTAAAATTCTCGTAGCCAAATTTTATTCTTTAGAACTACAATAGCTTTCATTATTGCCATCATAGTCTATTATTTCTGATCAGAATCAGACTTGGACTCTTTACAACCTTGGTCGGCTAAATGAGTTATTAATTAAAAGTAGTTTGATAACTATTTCGTTTTCAATTTTTAATGTTTAGTTTTTACTTTTTTGTTCTGAAATTAATCAAAATAGTTTATGAAATTAGCATAATTCATCAATTTGGTTTCTAAGATTTAAAATTAATAGAAGTGATCTCTGAGTTTGTTAACTATCAATCATTTTGATAATTATGTTAAAAATCTCCATTAAATAAGGAGCAAATGATAAAAATAACCTTAATTCAATAAACAACGGGCCATAATAATCTGACAAAAAATGAAGGTAATTTTGTTTTTTTTGTACAAAATAATTAAAATAATTGATGATGAATAAAATAAAAAAGATCCTACAACAAAAACAAAGTGAGGAATTGCATAACAATTTCAGGAATCAGCTAAAAAGTAAAAAGTACATATAAACAAAAGAAGAAACGAAACTTCCGACGCGGTGGGCTGCGACTTTGACCGGTTGAGAGTCCTCCGTTCGCAGCTCCTCCGTCTTTCTCCCAAACCTTTTACCTTTCATTCTTCTCCAAAACAAGCAAGCTGAGATTTCAACCTCTCTCTCTAAGAAGCAGCGGCATGCTTTTCCAAACGCAATCTGCAATTTAATCAAACAGCCACCGAATTTTCTGGAATCCGGTCAACGCAGATTCTGCTGTTTGGCTTCTTTCACCTCCACAAGCTTGCTGCCATTGTCGAAGGTATATCTCTGTGTGTTATGGAATTTGGGAGTGTTTGGTTGTGGGAACCGGAATGAACTAATGAATGAATGAATGACGAAACATTCCCGAAGAGCTTGGGGGTTTGTCAGACTTGGTGAGCTTGGATCTTTACTTGGCAAGCTTGCAAAACTGCGTTTCCTGTATGAACCCCCATCCTTTTGTTAGATAAAATCTATCGTCTTTCTTTTTTATTCGATATGCTAATCTGCTGTTTTTAATTGTTCCATTGTAAGTCCCGTGAGTTTCAAGATTCACAAGAAGGGAACATCCAATCATTGCAAGTCTTGTGAGTTTCATACACTTTCATCGCAGTAAGAGGGAGGAGAGAGTGAAAAGTTACTAATTTCTCTGCCATCAGAGAATGCAAATAACATATAGTTTTGCCGTGGAATGCAGGGATCTTTCAAATAACAATCTGACAGGGGATATTCCAGTTAATGGATCTTTTTCGCTTTTTACTCCCATCAGGTTTGTTGAAGCAACTTTACTCTTTTTCTTTACCTTTAGGGACAAAAATAACAATCTGACAGGGGATACACTTTCATCTCAGTAAGAGGGAGGAGAGGGTAATATAGCTTGATCAAGTTGGTGTTGTAGTTGTTGTATGGGATGCAGGTTTCACTCATCTACTGTCTTTGCAGCTGAGAAGGAACCAGAAGTTCATTTACGACAGCTCAAAAGGTTTTCTTTGCGCGAGCTACAAGTTGCCACGGATACCTTTAGCAACAAAAATATTCTTGGTAGAGGTGGATTTGGTAAGGTTTATAAAGGACGCTTAGCTGATGGAACTCTGGTTGCTGTAAAAAGACTTACAGAGGAGAGAACCCAAGACGGGGAACTACAGTTCCAAACAGAAGTTGAAATGATTAGCATGGGTGTCCACCACCGCAATCTGCTTTGTCTGCATGGGTTTTGCATGAAAATATCCTTATATGGCTAATGGAAGTTTGGCATCTTGTTTAAGAGGTACTCATCTAAATTGTTGGCTGCGTGGATGAATCTTTTTGTTTTCACGACGTTAAATTTTTTTTCGATCACATTGATATAATGAATTTAAAAACCTGACCAATTTGGCTTGGAGTATCAACACTGATTTTTTTTAGTGTTTTTTTTTCTTCAATTTTAAGTTACCTTCTCGATGCTGATTTTAGTTCTGTTTAATTTGAAAAGGATGACAAGAAGATCCTTTTTTGGGTAGGATGGGTGGTATGATATGTGTTAGACCACATTACCTGTTGCTTGTAATTTGAAATTCTCCTAAGTATGTGGATATATTATTGTAGATCGTCCAGAAGGACAACCTGCACTTGATTGGCCAATAAGACAACGCATTGCATTGGGATCTGCAAGAGGTCTTGCTTATTTACATGAGCACTGTGATCCAAAAATTATTCACCGTGATGTGAAAGCTGCAAACATATTGTTGGATGAGGAATTCGAAGCTGTTGTTGGAGACTTTGGGTTGGCTAAACTCTTGGACAACAAGGATGCATATGTTACCACACATGTATGTGGCACAATTGTTCATATGGCACCGGAGCACTTTTCAACTGGAGTGTCTTCCGAGAAAACTGATGTTTTTGGATACGGAGTCCTGCTTCTTGAACTCATCACTGGGCAGAGGGCTTTCAATCCTCAGCTTGCGAGTGATGATGATTTCATGTCAGTTGATTGGGTATGCATTTACGTCTTTCTGTTTGTGTATGTAGCTAGTTATTGTTATATGCAAGATTATTTCCCAACAACATTTGCATTTCCTTAGTAATGGAAATTATATTGACAATCAAGTGGAGCAGCTGATCTAAATGGAAATTATATTGACAATCAAGTGGAGCAGCTGATCCAAGTAGCTCTACTGTGCACACAAGGCTCCCTAGGGGAACGGCCCAAGATGTCAGAGGTTGTCCGAATGCTTGAAGGCGAAGGCGAAGGTTTGCTTGAAAGATGGGAGGATTGGCAAAAAGAGGAGGTGATCCGCCAAGATTTCAACACTATTCATCATCCAAGTACTTGGATCATAGACTCACCTTCTCCTAATTTTGTGTTGTACTATTTCTGTGTGTTTGAAGAAATGGATAAAAACAATGACATGCGCAAATAATATTAGGTAACACTGCTACTGGGGCTATTGCTGGAGGGGTTGTTGTTGGTGCTGCTTTACCGTTTGCTCTGACATTAAGGTATTAAGGGATCAAGAGATCACTACGTGTCATTCCAACATGGGTATTCGAGCTCTGTCTATCTTGTTTAGAGTATCGTCAATAGGGATACCTCTGATATCTTTGAGGATTTATTTAAGACCAGCTGTAAGGTAAGACCCAAACCTAAATATTTGAGTTTAAACAAAATAGAAATGCAATCTAGTTGTGGGACTTTTTGGTTTTGGTGAACAAAAAATATTTTCTACACTAAAAGGGTGGGAGATTGAGTTAGGCCTTATAATGGGCTAGCAATAATATGGTTCAAATTCTTTTTTGATGAGAATCTAACCTAAGGACCTCTCGGTTATATGTGAAGAGGAATACGACTAAAATGTAGTAAAAGTTATATCTAATGGTTGGACTTAAACCTAAAAAGTTTGGCTTTTGACCCAAGCTAAACCCAAATTTGGGTTTGTATTTCCATATTTGGCTGACCCAAAATTTTGGGGTCCCTACCTTTTTTTTTTTTTTTTTTTTTTTTAAACTCAAAAGCAACAGGCGAATGATTTATTGAAGTGGCTGATAGATGGGTCCCTCAACTGACAGGGTCCCAGTTGCAAAATGGTAACATTTTAAGGAACTACGAGCCGTTCGATTTTTGGGCCATTGGTGATCAACGGTCTTGGTTAAAATCCTTTTGTGCTTTGCAATCTTTAGATTTTGATGTAATTGTTCTGTTCATAATTTTTTTTTTTTTAAATTTAACAATAAAATAAAGTCAACTGTTGAAATTTAAAATTCAACGTCAAAATAAAAAAATAATTGTTTTTAGAACATATTCACTTTACTATTGGATGGTGTGTGTATTGACGTTTGGTTGGTTGTTTGTATATTGAAGATTGGTTGGTGTGTGTATTAAAGTTTGATTGGTTGGTGTGATTTGTTTGGTTTTGAATTTTTTGTCGAAATTTAATTTTTTTTTAACATCAAAACACTTGTCAAATTAAATTAATATAATATAATTCGAAAGTTCAAAAAAAAAAAAAAAATCTTTTTATTCCGAAATTTGGATCTTGATAGTTGGGTGATATTCACTGTTCATAGACTTAAATTCTGTGAGACAGCTTGTTCCGGATTTTCGAACCGTAGGGGTGAAATGACGATTTTGCCCCTATTATGGTTGTTTCGTTGTGTGGTTGTTTTTGGGTGTTACTTGGCTGGTTTTGGACCACACACACACCACACTCACTCACCCTCTCTCCCTGCCTTGTCCCGAGCTCTGTCTCTCTCCCATTCCTTTTCTTCTTGTACGGACAACAACCAAAACCATTGAAACCTTCACAGATCGGGGAAACAAATTACATATTCGTGCTCGTGAGGTCCTTGGGAGTTTAACCATACCCATTTCAGGTAAGGATACCTTCGTTTTCACGTCAAACTCGAGATACCCCGATTTGGTCACTGTTCATGCACACGTTAATTCTTGTGTTTTTGGGAATTTCAAGCTTGTAGGAAGCTTGGTGAGGTCCTTAGGAGGCTCGGGGTGGTTCGTTTGAAGGTTTTGGACGTCGGGATCGTGAGTTACAAGCTTGGCCGGAGTTGGTGGTGCTTTCCCTGTGAGATTCCGTGGGTTTTAGTGCTTAAAAGTGGTATAGATCTATTCCTCTTGTTGTAAGCTTCATTTTGGTACCAATTTTGTGAAATTTGGTTGAAAAACGAAGAAGATACATGGTTTTAAAGTTTTCCCGGTTTTCCGGCGCCGGAGTTTGGCCGGAGAAGACGACGGAATATTCCGTCAGTTTGGACGGAATATTCCTAATGGCGTTAACGGAATCCGTCAGATTTAACGAAATATTCCTGAGGGGACGCCGTCAGTGTGCCAGGCACGTTCCTACGAGTGGGCGGCGCGTGTGGCCGTGCCTTGGCCGGCGCGTGCGGCGGCAGAAAATTTTTCTAAAAATATGGGGATGTTCCTGAGGTTAAGTAGATCACGTTGGTGTATTCATACACCTCATTTGAGCATTGTATGAGAAGTTATTTCGTGATGTTGGTTATGTGCTTTAAAATTAACGTTTTTATAGTTGTTTCGCATATAGGTGAAACCTATCCTGAGGACGAGCGCGGTCACTCGAGGCAAGGGGTTACGACCCTTCTACATACCAGTGAGTGGGCTTTTGGTTTTCCGTATATACCTATATACTTATGCTTTTCCCAGAAAGTGAAATGAAACGTTTATACGCTTATATGCCATGCTTATTGTGTGCCATTTATTTACGCATTATTAGTCGCATATGTATATATGTTTGGTGCTGCGGACGCACAGGTAAGTGTCAGGTGAGTTATGATTTATGTTTATGTTCAGTAGTGATTTGAGATGCATAGAGAGCTCATAACCTGTACCCCCGGTGTTAGTGCTCCCGCCCAGAGTTGAGCACAGTCCTTCACGTGATGTTCACCTCCCGCACCACACGCTCGTCTTGGATCCAAGTTAGGTGCACAGTCCAGTCGTACATACCACTTTAGGTGGTTTCGACGCGTAGGTGACCCGCGATTAGTCGCCCAGCCTTCACGTGATCGTAGCACTTAAGCGTACTTATTATACACCCAGTCCTGTCGTACAGACCACTTAGGTGGTTCCAACTCGTGTGCAGGTATAGTTAGTGAGTTGGAGATTTGAGCTCTAGATTCAGCCGTACAGGTCACGTTAGGTGACTCCGGCTGACAGATTGCATGGCATTGATTTGACATTACCTGAGCACTTGCATTTTATTTCGAGGCATTTGGCATGGCATATTTCTGAGCATGACTTATATATATGTATATTCTATTTTTCTGGGAAGTATACAGGTTTTACGGCGATGGGTTAAAATCTCGTTTATGAAATGGTTTTTGAAAAGCTTTGTTTTTGCCCACTCACACTTTTCGTTTTACGCCCCTCTAGGTTCTAGTTGGCTAGTACTTGTGGTGGCTCCTCAGAGGATTTTCCCCGCATATCTGACAGATTATCACCAGTGTAGGGCCACCTTTAGGTGTGTTTATGTAGTGTTGTTTCTCCTGGACTGCATTAGGTCTTTGTGCTCTGAACTTTGTTTTCACACTTACGCTTGCACATGTATGTTCTTACTTTGTGTAAAGCTAGTTTTTTTATTTATTCGTACTTTTATTATTATTTTATTAGCTTCCGCACTGTGCACATGGTTACTTCACTTCCACGTGACGCCTAGCATGCCCTAATCTCGATCGGGGTGTGTCATTCCGTCTTTTAATAGACTAAATATTTGGGTTTGGGTCTAAGAGTTGGAGCTGGTCTAAGGACTTTAATGAAATCTTTTTATTCCTAAAAGAGTATTGCCTCATATGATAAAGTCCCTATAGTACAAATCCTAAGTTTGAAGTTTACATAATTTTATGTGATAATTTCATTAGAAGTTTAGTTAATTTAAATTGATTTTATTGTAAAATATTTTTTGTGAACATTATTACCCAAAAAAGTTCAAAATTCTCGAAGCCAAATCTTATTCTTTAGAACTACAATAGCTTCAGTATTGGCTATGTCATGGTCTATTATTTCTGATCAGAATCAAACTTGGACTCTTTGCAACCCTTGGTCAACTAAATGAGTTATTAATTAAAAGTATTGTTCTAAAAATTTCCGCCTAGCGCGCTTAAGCCCCGCCTAGGTGCTAGGCGGCTGGTCACCACCCCGATTAATGCTTAGGCATTTCAAAATTAAGAAAATAAGCCTAGACCTACTGAAGACCTGCTAAGACCCGCCCAGGTTGCTGCTAACTTAGATAAAAAATATATAACTTTCATTTTGCATTTATTTTTTTCAATAAATTGTAAGAGACTTGCTGAATACTTAAATGAACACATATTATATGTTTGTTTCCCATGTTTTTATTATGTTCCAATAGCATAATATATATGTCATTTTATTTTGTAGTTCATAATGAAATTATATATATTTTAAGTATAAATAGACATTTATTTACACGAAATATAATAGATATAATTAAATCTGCCTCGTCCGCCTAGGCACCTGCCTGGATCCCGCCTAGCCACCTAGGCACTAGGCCCCAACCAGCTGCCTTACTAGCGTCTTTTAAAACCTTGATTAAAAGTAACTTAATAATAATTTGGTTTTCAATTTTTTATTTTTAGTTTTTACTTTTCTATTATGAAATTAACCAAAATAGTTCATGAAATTAGTATAATTCATCAATTTGGTTCCTGTGATTTGAAATTACTAGAAGTGATCCCTGAGTTTGTTAATTATCAATTATTTTAGTCATTCCATTAAAAATATCCATTAAATAAGGATCAAATGATAAAAATAACCTCAATTCAATAAACAATTGGCCATAATAATTTGGCAAAAAATTGAAGATAATTTTGTATTTTTACAAAATAATCAAAATAATTGAAGATGAATAAAATCAGAAATCTCACAATAAAGCGAGGAATTGCATAACAACTTCAGGAATCAGCTAAAAAGTCAAAGATAAAATATAAACAAAAGAAGAAATGAACCTGCCCACGCGATGGGCTGCGACTTTGACTGATTGAGAGTCCTCCATCCGCCTGCTCCTCCGTCGTCCTCCCAAACCTTTTACCTTTCTTTCTTTCCTCTCCAAAACTAGCGAGCTGAGATTTCAACCTCTCTCTCTAAGAAGCAGCGGCTTTCTTTTCCAAACGCAATCTGCAATTTAATCAAACAGCCACCGAATTTTCTGGAATCCGGTCAACGAAGAGATGCTTCGGATTTTGATCGGTTAACGCCAGCTGCTTACCTGAGCTCCAACAGACCCAACAGCGATGATGTCCTCCGCCTCTGTTTCTGTATGGCTGATTCTGCTGTTTGGCTTCTTTCACCTCCATAAGCTCGCTGCCAACGTAGAAGGTATGTCTGTGTCTATGTGTTTTTGAATTTGGGTGTGTTTGATTGCGGGAATTGGAATGAGCTAATGAATGAATGAATGAATGATTGGATTTGACAGGTGACGCATTGAACGCGTTGAAGACCAATCTAGCTGATCCAGACAATGTTCTGCAGAGTTGGGATCCGACTCTCGTCAATCCCTGCAGCTGGTTTCATGTCACTTGTAATAGCGAAAACAGCGTTACTCGAGTGTAAGCAAACCCAACAAACACCTCCTTTTCAATTCAGTTCAATTCAATTCGATTCAGCTCAGTTCAGTTCAGTTCAATTCACTTGTAACAGCGGAAATAGCGTTATGCGAAGTTTTTAACATTTTTGCTCCACCCAGTGATCTTGGCGGTGCCAATCTCTCTGGTCGACTGGTGTCACAGCTTGGTGTGCTTTCCAAGTTGCAGCACTTGTAAGTGTGTTTTTCACTCTGCTTTTTTGTTCGGGTCTTATCCAACTGTTCCATCACTGTGCATTTGAATTGAAATTGGTATCGATACACGACGAATGAATTTCACTACTGCATTTGACATTATTGAAACACTCTTTCTTGATAGGGAACTTTACAATAATAACATAACTGGAAACATTCCGGAAGAGCTTGGGGGTTTGTCGGACTTGGTGAGCTTGGATCTTTACTTGAACAATTTACATGGTACCATTCCAGCGACACTTGGCAACCTTGCAAAACTGCGTTTCCTGTATGAACCCCCATCCTTTTGTTAGATAAAATCTGTCGTCTTTATTTTTTATTTGATATGCTAATTATGCTGTTTTTAATTGTTCCGTTGGGGTGACTTTCATCCTTAAAGTCCATGATAGCATTTCGGCTCAACCCAATATTGTGGTAAAGGCATAGCTTGAGTTTTGACTTTTTCTAGGAATGGGTCCTAAACAGTAAAGGGCCTTAACACCGGAATATTTACAGAAATACACTAGCAATAGACCCCGCGCGATGTCCTGTGATTTAAAACTATGTTAAACATGTGCAAATATATGAAAATCTAATTATATCCATATCAAAGAAATATCTATTTACATCCTCATATCCAATAAGGAAAAAAGATATGTATGTATGTATGTATGTATGCATGTATGTATGTAGGATATATCACATATTAAAATCTGTCTACGTCCTTACCAAAGTATATTTGCATCCTTATGTGTAATAATGAACAGATAGGTATTTGAAGAATACATTACATAGAAAAAGTTGTGGATTAAGTTGTTCATACAAATACAATCACATAAAAATATATTCATTTTCCATGTTCCAACTCATCACACTACATTCAGTACTTCACTCTTCTTTCTTCTTTGTTTTTCTGTAGATGAGGATGTACATTTTTCCTCAAGTAATCTGTTCAAGATAAATACATTGGTTAGGCTTCTGAATCATATGAGCCTTTAACTGGCTTACAAAAATGCTCATTTTTCATATGAGAAGGACAACCAGTTTAGAGTTTCGAAAGATAAATAAAAATTCCAATTCTCACCAAGAAAAAAGAGCCGAAGAAATACAATGGGTTTTAGGGAGATACGAAGTCTTTACCAACTAACAAATGAAGTAAATCATATTGTTCAATACTTGAGCTTCCAATTTAGTACACTTACATCTTCAATCTCTGACAAAACAAAACAAAAAAGGGAAAAATCATTTAGTACACTTACATCTTCAATCTCTGACACAACATGTTTAAGATGGCATGAACCCAACTAAATTGCTTCACCGTTCACCTATATCCTCGGTGCTATAAATTCGAATTAAAAACCAGTAAATAAAAGTGGTTAAGCTAAAACCCTCACTTCTCATTACATGTTGAAATTTCTTTAACCTCGAAACCTACTCCCACTGTGTTACTTTTGTGGTGCATACACTACAAAAACCAAAAAGAAAATGCTGCAAAGGGGAAATTGGAAAATCATACCACCATCAAACATTGCACGGAAGGCATCTGAAGAAGCAAGCAGGCGAGTTCTGTGAGCATACCATCTACCTGCAATTGGTCAGTAAACAATAAAAAATTTAAAGAGGTCCTTTATGTTAACAATACAATCACACATGCTAATTGAATACTCTATAATTAAGACAAAGAAGAGGAACTCACGATGTGCTCCTTGAAAACTGGCGAGAGAGAACTGGAACTGGGTTGGAACACCCCAGCCTTTTCAGCCTCGTCATGAAATAATTTTAACAATTCGGTCAAGCATAAAACCATCTGCCAATTATGGTTTTTGTAAATTATGTAGAGCCAAAAATCTAATAAATAGTCTAACAATAATGGAAAACCTCACGAAGGATTAAGAATCTTTTTACCTCTGCCTGTGGACAATCTTTTTTACTCCTATGCAAGGCAGTTGGGATTCATGAGTGTACCTGCCCTTCTAAGATGCAAAATATAAGAACATGATGTAAATGTCAGAAAAATAGAAGATCACATTTTTTTTTTGTTTCAAATGCAAGAAAAATTAAATCACCTATATAAAAATATACAAACTCGGTAATGTACAGAAAAATTCCAAATTGCAAACAGTAAAATTCAACACAAAACCAAAATAACAAGAAGGTATATTAAGTAGCAAAAAGTATTTAAATTATAGGATTTGAGATATTTTAAGCTAATGGGAAATTCAATAATATTCTTGTATCCAATTAATACTATTCAGGTTTTTATGATATTCTATATAATTGTAAAATTATCTAGCAGAAATTTAAACATTCATTACTTTCTATGTCCATATACAACCCTCAATATATGAATCGACCAATCTGTTAGTTTGCTCTTATGATCTTTAAAAGCATTCCATAAAACCTAAGGTGTTCATGTTGCCGATGATAAAAATGAGTGTAGCACAACGAAAGAATATACATATATATAGCATAATTGTGATGCTACATACTGACCTGGTAGACGAGATGACTTTGTGTTCATTTGGAAATTGGAGTCAATTATTGGGCACCCTGCCTCCAGAGCTTTCAATGGTAGATTGGTGCGACTTGCCTAAATTGACAAAATTTGGCTGGAATTGAAAATTAATATCGAGTCAAGATATAATTCAACTTCGAATTGAAAACACCAACTTGTCTAAATTGACAAATTTTGGCTTGAATTGAGCTAGCAGTTAGGGTTTGAATTGGAATTCAAAAATTTGATGCATATCTTCATATGCAATAAGCGTGTTGTGCATTGCATTTGAATAATTTATTTATAACCCTATTTTTAATAAACAAAATAGGTATCAAAGGGAATGAAATTTGTATTTTAAAAGAACAAAATAAAACTTACTACCTACAAATTTCAACAGAAATACAAAAAGATTCACAAAAATTTTGGGGAAGGTTTCCAATATTATTGCACCCTCTACAACTTTATGAAGCATTGAAGAAAACCAAAACCAAATTCCGAAAACTGTAATTAACTATCTTGTACAATTGAAACTACACTGGAAAATGTTAAATCCTTCGGCAGACATGTAATCCAAAATGAAGAGAAATTTGAAAGATTTGAGTCTTACCTAACCAGCGATAAAACAAAAGACGTACAAATAAGGTTTGAAATTGGATTTGAACTATGGCAGCTAGTTCTCTCTGAACTCGAAGCTGGGAATGGAAAAAAATAGAAACATTTTGAGTCATCCAATTCAAATTGCAAACAAAGGGCTGAATTTTCAGACATGCAATCCAATAACTAAGATTGTCTCTACAAATTATTAAAAAATTAATTCCAAAAGAGTATGGTAAAGTTGTAAATAAGTAGATTACAACATTTAAAAAAACGCTCGAAGAAAAACAATTGGGCCTTCGGCTCACTACGCTTAATCTCTATCCAAGGCAAGACTCTTAAGCATCAAAAGAATTCCTCCATAATTATAGGATGCATTTGTTACAAATACAAGTATCAAACCGTGCATTTTCTTAAATTTGGATGTTTGGCTTTCCAATATAAGAAAAGGTTATTTGTCTATTTAATAATTGTTGCAATTGTAGCTATACTATATGTCATAAGTTTAGTCCTACCAAGCAATAGATTGATGTCTAAGAAGGAAAAAAAAAATGATATACACATAAATAAAATTTAAAATTTTCCATCACACCATTGTAATTAAATAAAGCAAACACACAGTATCATATCACAATCACAAAAGCAAGGATTTTAAAACGCGACAATATTTAACAACTACTATGCACAGTTTTAAAAAAAATGAGTATAAGATTAACCTTTATAGAACACCTAATTACTTCCAAATGAGATACACAAAATCTGAAATTGCACCTATCCAAAGTTAAAAAAACAAAACTAATTAAATAACAATTAGGCAAGAACAACAACATGCGACAAACAAAATGAAAGCACCATAATCATATCATGGTTGAGAATTTCTAATTTATTAGAATTAGGGATCCATTAATACAACCATGTCACATGTACTAATTTTTTTTATTTGGCCAAAAACAGAAAAAACTGAAAACACCAAATTAAAAAGAGTAGGCAAATGAAGAACATTCACACCCATACTTATCAATTTACACATAAATTTCAATTTTGAATCATTTGGCCTTCCAAAAAAATGTACAGAAATGCAAAAGAAGATAAACAAATTGAAGCAAAGTTATATGTACCAGGCAATTAAGACTCACCCGAAATTGCTATCAAGCTCTGTTGCACGGAATACCTTACAATTGACAGCACTTTTACAAAGGTTTTGAAAGGCTTAGATTCAACTTTCAAATATGTAAGACTCTGAGCTTCAAAACCAAAACAAACCCAACTGCACTTTTAGTTCACCCACCCCGTTGAATAAAATCCAATTCAATAAAACAACAGAAAATTAAACAACCCAAAAATCAAAACAACCCCACTTGTAGTTGTAGCTCACTAATCCGTTGGATTAATTGATGCCAAATTCAATCAGAAAACATACAATTAACAACCCATAAGAGGCATCCAAAAACCCAACCAATTAACCAAAAAATACCACTTGTACTTTTAGCTGAGTATTCCGATTGAATCAGATCTATCATCAAATTTCAATCAGAAAATAGAAAAATTAAGAACAGCCCAGAATTTCCACTCACCTGCTGTGAAACTCATCCCTGTTGAGACCGAGAAAGAGAAGTCGATGGAAAATGAGGGGTGTTTTCATCCCCTTCGATAGAAAAAGAAGAAGCAAAAGAGTATGGAAAAGAGGAAAAGAGAAAGGAAGCATCGATCACCAACACGTGTAAAAATGGTCCAAACGAAATTAAACAAATCAAGCAGGATAAAATCGGTATCACACTGCTCTATGAACGGTGTTTCAGTTTGTTTTTCTCTTTTAGTATTATATAATTTTAATTTTAAGGGGAAATAGAAAGGAATTCTGTACCCAGAGTGGGTGAGGTGAACCGTCACATCTTGAAAGTTTCCCACATGTACTTTATATACTTTATGGGGAAATAGAAAGGAATTCTGTGAGGGTTCACATCTTGAGTCGGTGAACCCTCACATCTTAGAGTTATGGAGTTATGGAATTCTGAGTGCTCATTGTTCTGTCTATTGTTGTCCATAACTCCATATGTACTTTATGCGCACGCAGAACTCATATACTCTTGTAATGTCTATATAGCAACTAGAAAAATGATTAAATAAAAATAAAAAATTTAATGTCGCAAAACTACTTTAGCATTTTACTAAAGCGTCCCTTATAATTTGAATAATTATCTGTTGAAAATATAATATCTGCTGTTGTTGCGATTATTTGTGATTTAATTAGCACTTTCTGTTCCATTAAATAGGCGTCTATCCAACAACAGCTTGTCAGGGAATATTCCTGAGACTTTGACTAACATCCAATCATTGCAAGTCCTGTGAGTTTCATACACTTTCATCGCAATAAGAGGGAGGAGAGAGAGAAAATCTACTAATTTCTCTATAATCAGAGAATGCAAATAACATATAGTTTTGCCATGGAATGCAGGGATCTTTCAAATAACAATCTGTCAGGGGATATTCCAGTCAATGGATCTTTTTCGCTTTTTACTCCCGTCAGGTTTGTTGAACCCACTTTATTTTTTATCTTTACCTTTTTCCGGCGGTGGCCCTCCCAGCGGACGATCTGAATGATGGACTGGCTGTTGGAAATTATATATGATATATTATAGTATATAATTTTAATAATTGAATGAAAATTATTGTTAACCAATTTCTTGGAAAGGTTATGTTGTTTAGGTGTATTCCTTGATAAGTGATGTATGCTTATAGATGAAAAGTTACATCTCTTTAATAAGTAGAAATTGGATTCCATTTAAACCCATGAAACCATTGGTATTAAATATAGAAAAATTAGAGTTAATTTTTACTCTTGAGAAATAGGGTTTCCCCACTTTGTTTCTCTCATGCTTCGTGAGTCAAATTCCGAGTCGTGTCTTGAGAGTATGAAATATATAAAGTTCGCCAGAGTCCGAAGATTGAAGTGTTTTGACTTCGGATTATAGATTGTTGAATCCTGGGAGATGGACGCCTATCGAACTACAAGCACAAGAGTAGGGGCGGAATTCTATCTTTAGGATATTGCATTTATGCAAGTCTCAATCTCCAAGTTTGTCAGTTTTTCTAACTTTATATCTCTAGTTATTTATATTAATCTCATATACTATTGATGTTGTTATTTTCTTTATGATTATTATCATTGGAATTCTTGTGTTATTTTCATATTTTCTAATATTGCTCCAACAATCTAAAGATAGAAATTTTATCCCTATGGAACAATCGGAAATATGAATGTTCTCGATTCTCATATTGAGAGTTTAAAGCTGTGGCTTTAAAAGTCATGGACAACATATGGTGTTGTATTTGATGTGAAGCCTAGAATTGATGCAATTAAGATTTTAATCTCTGATTTAGTCTTGATGATTTAGTTGGATGATATTGTGGTATTATCTGTATGGAGCGGTGTCAATCAACCGCTTGTTTCTTTTGAAAAGTTAAAATTTAAAATTATAACTTTCTGGGCAATGCATCACTTGATAAAAAGACTTGAGCAGTTTGCTTAGGTAATTTGGATCTGGTATGTATATGCATGCTTACGTCTATATGTGTCTGCAAGTTATCTTGAAAGCATGAATTGCATGACTTGTGTGATATGTCTTATGGATAAATTTCTTAATTTCAAAGATTAATATTAATTTTCTACATGCCTGGGCGTTCATTCCCATTCGACCAAATGTGTGAGTTATACATGTGGATTGATTTATTCATACGACGATGCGTCGCATTAACTGGGCATATATTTCTGTGACTAAAGAATTTTTCTTGAGTATTTATAAGGATTGCAACCCTTAAAGTCTTGTACGTAAGAATGAGTTCACTATTTGGGCAGAATCAATAACTATTCGTGAGATATCCATTCAAAACCATGTTAGGTGTTGACTCTTTCTTTCAAAGAGAGGTGTCGGTTAAGGCAAAGGCAAAGCCTATTAAAAAAAAAAAAAATTTGCTTTATCTGCAATGCTAAAACGATGCTAGATTTGGTTTTGCCAAAGATCGTAGCAGTTTCGAGAAAAATTTCTTTTGCAGAAAAGAATTACATCTGTATAATCCCTATGTGAAGTTCTTTCTTTGGGAAATAAAATAAATTCCTTATGTCAGTATATAATGCCAAAAGAACTTGTGGATGTAAGAAGGATTGAAGGCAACGATAGAGAAACTTAAACGGTCAGTTTTGTTTCTCAATTAATTACCCGATCATGATGCAATCTTTAATGTTGTGGCTGGACTTCTAAGGATATAGGCTATATGATCTGCAAACTCATTGATTGAATTAGCACATTTATAGAATGATGAGCACTTGCTGATAAAGGAGTAACATGTGAAGGCACTACAAAAATGAGTTTTGCTCATAAGCCATGTTAGTCATGGATAAAACCAAAGCCAATTCCTTTGCAAAGAATTATACACTGAAAGTGTGGGGGTCTTCGTAAAAGGAATGATGAGGCACTGAAATTGATGCTTATTGAGTAAGCATACACAATTAAATTAGACATGATGATGCTTATTAAGCAAGAATATGAATGGACATGTTATGAATTCAATGATGCTGGCTAATTGAGTTTTGATAATTTAAAGTCAAATTACATAGAGGTGGATATGCAAAGGCATAATCTATAATGGAATTGAATACAGCCTTAAGGCTAGAGAAATTTACTTTGTGATAATTTAGCCGAGTAAGGGCTAAACACGATGTCCAAATTGTAAAGAGTAATTTGTTTATTAAAAGAGAGAGAATAAAAAGCAGTTATCTCTTATAATGATTAACTTTAAGGTATGAAGAGTTAGAGACATTCTTACAAATACCTTAAATGTGGGGGAAGTCTATTTCCTAGTGTTAGCAAATTACTTACAAAAGTCCCAATATATATATACTTTTGAGGACTTGAAATTGAGAAACAACTACTCTTATATGAAATATAATTTCATCAGATGGATTGTGCACACCATAAGAGTAGTCAACCTTAGTGATACCAATTATTAAAGGTTTGATTAGAGAGTAAGTTGATCATCGAGGGGAATGAGGCTAAAGCCAACACAACTAATGAATTAGCCGAGCGGAAACCTAACTTAGTTGATTGGAGATCCCATGGTCTAAGTTCAATAGGCAAACTAGTTGGGCATGATTCAAAGAAGTTAACACACTATATACCTCATTCTTATGGTGGAAGAAATGTGTTGTCTGGAGAAGTTTTAGGATGTATATTTATATTTAATGATAGTGATATCTTATAAATAAGAGGAATAGAGCGGATTATTCTTAATCAGTGGTCACCTATGTGAGAGTAGAAGTAGGTCGCTTCCATGAGTATGAGATGGCTAAATTCTCTAAAGCTCTCATGAATCCGGGATTTGTTCAGGACCAAAATGAACACAACTGTATGAACCATAATATATTAGGATTAGTGATGTGTGTTGCTTATTGTCTCGGTTTACTACTGCGGTGAACAGTTCAAGATTCTATATTCACTGCGTCACCAAGTAAATCCGATAAGTATTCACTAGGGTAGGTTCAAGTCCAAAAGATACCTCTCCCGATGCATCTCTTGTCCGCCTGTACTCTCAAATTCTTCCTAATTTTTCATTCATGTGGGGGATTGTTAGAAATTATATATTATATATTATAGTATATCATTTTAATAATTGAATGAAAATTATTGTTAACCAATTTCTTGGAAAGGTTATATTGTTTAGGTCTATTTCTTGATAAGTGATGTATGCTTATAGATGAAAAGTTACATCTCTTTAATAAGTAGAAATTGGATTCCATTTAAACCCATGAAACCATTGGTATTAAATATAGAAAAATTAGAGTTAATTTTTACTCTTGAGAAATAGGGTTTCCCCACTTTGTTTCTCTCATGCTTCGTGAGTCAAATTCCGAGTCGTGTCTTGAGAGTATGGAATATATAAAGTTCGCCAGAGTCCGAAGATTGAAGTGCTTTGACTTCGGATTATAGATTGTTGAATCCTGGGAGATGGACGCCTATCGAATTACAAGCACAAGAGTAGGGGCGAAATTCTATCTTTAGGACATTGCATTTATGCAAGCCTCAATCTCCAAGTTTATCAGTTTTTCTAACTTTATATCTCTAGTTATTTATATTAATCTCATATACTATTGATGTTGTTATTTTCTTTATGATTATTATCATTGGAATACTTGTGTTATTTTCATATTTTCTAATATTGCTCCAACACTGGCTGCTATTCTTCATTTTGCAGTTTTGCCAATAATCCTCGTCTGAATCCACTTCCAGGTTTTTACAACTTATACTGTTCTTGTGATATTAACTCAAATTTGTTTTGAGAACAGTTGAATATCAGAGTACTATACTACAAAATAAGAATATTATTAAACAAATAAAAATGCCAAAACGGTTACAAAATTTTAAGAGACTACGTTGTGACGCATTTGTTCTAAGAGGAATAACAGGCATCCTATTTATAATAAACTATAACCCTAATCTCTAACAAATCCTAATTTTAACGGGCTGACCTCAAATCCTAAACTTATTACTTTCCGGCTGGCTCTGTTTTGTTTCACAGACACTTGTGATATCGACTCTAGTCCATTGGTAGTTAATGTTTTTTCTTGGTGTTTTTCTGTTAAATTTTTTTCATGGTACAACATTATTGTTGGACTCACTGCTGTAAAGATTCTAAGAAGATGCTAGTTAGGAAAGGAATGGATTGAGGATCCGAGGGGATACTCCTAAATTCCTATGAGTGTGAAGAAATGAATTAAAACAATGACATGTGAGAGAGAGTTCATCATATAACATCCGACTTTTAAGGATTTTCATCTCGTTTTGGTTCATGTTGTGCAAATAACCCTTCCTTTTTAACTCTGGTGATTCATATTAGGTGCCGGATTCGGTGAAATAGTGTTCGGATATCGTATCGGTACGGACGTACCATTACTTTAGCGATTCGGTGGTGAATTTAGTGGTTCATCTGATCATCTCTAATAATTTCTAATCAAATTACAGAAACTGAGAAAAGTAAACGCACCTGTAATTTTTGGAAACAGAGGAGTGAAACAACTGGAATTTTGGGAAGCTCGGTGCTTTTGGTTTTCATCGGGCAGACAAAAAACGAAGAGAGAGAGGAAGATAGATTACTTTCGCTTTTTGGATTTAATTCTTTTGATTTGAACGAAATTTCTTGAATTGAGGAAGCAGATCTCTTGCTATCTACAACTCTCCAACAAACCCAATGACTGTGGCTTCCAAGGTTGTTAATTTTCACCTCTTTTTTCGAATTTTCACCAGATAAGACTGTTAGAGATTTGCAATGGGGTGGGGAGATTACGTGTCTGTACAAGTAGTGAGATTTTTGTGTTAAAATATTAATGATATAAAAAATAAAATTTTTCACCATTTATATAATAACATGTGGTACACCATTTATGTTACGGACGCAAGAAAAAAATTCAATGGAATAGGTCTATCAACACTCTTTTCTTCTTGTATTAATGGAGGGACCCATTTGCAGTGTTGATTTTTTTAGAGAAGATGTAAATAGTCGGTGGCCCATTGCATTTCCCAAATTCCATATTAATTTGAGAATATTTATATTATTCTTATTATAAAGTTAAGTGAATTAATTGTTTTTGATTTGTAAAATAATTGCTTACAAATAATCAATTCTATTAAACAAAAATAATTTCTTACAATGAACAATAACTATAAATTATTGTAAAATGTATATGTATTATAAATATTTTTAATTTATATTTTTTAACGAATTGAGAATGAATCAATCTAATATTATATTGTCTATGTATACTCTCTAACGAATAGTACCATAGGTTACAAACGAATTACGAACTCGCACCGTGCCACTAATACTGCGGCTATTGCTGGAGGGGTTGTTGCTGGTGCTGCTTTGTTGTTTGCTGCACCTGCAATTGCACTTGCTTATTGGCGACGAAGAAAATCACAGGATCATTTATTTGATGAACTTGGTTAGTGAACTATAAGAGTAATATAGCTTGATCAAGTTGGTGTTGTAGTTGTTGTATGGGATGCAGGTTTCACTAATCTACGGTCTTTGCAGCTCAGGAGGATCGAGAAATTCATTTACAAATAAATGAACCTGGTTAGTGAACTATAAGAGTAATATAGCTTGATCAAGTTGGTGTTGTAGTTGTTGTATGGGATGCAGGTTTCACTAATCTACTGTCTTTGCAGCTCAGGAGGATCGAGAAATTCATTTACGACAGCTCAAAAGGTTTTCTTTGCGCGAGCTACAAGTTGCGACGGATACCTTTAGCAACAAAAATATTATTGGTAGAGGTGGATTTGGTAATGTTTATAAGGGATGCTTAGCAGATGGAACTCTGGTTGCTGTAAAAAGACTTGAAGAGGAGAGAACCCAAGGTGGGGAGCTACAGTTCCAAACAGAAGTTGAAATGATTAGCATGGGTGTCCACCGCAATCTGCTTCGTCTGCATGGTTTTTGCACGACACCAACAGAAAGGTTGCTTGTATATCCTTATATGGCTAATGGAAGTGTGGCATCATGTTTAAGAGGTACTCATCCAAATTGTTTGCTGCGTTGATAAATCTTTTTGTTTTCACAACATTAAATTTTTTATGGATTTCATTGATAAAATGAATTTAAAAACCCGACCAATTTGGTTTGGAGTATCAACACTGATTTCTTTTAATATTTTTTTTTCCTTCAATTTAAGTTACCGTCTCGATGCTGATTTATTTATTTCTGTTTAATTTGAAAAGAATGACAAGATGACCCTTTTTTGGGTAGGACAGGTGGTATGATATGCGTTAGACCACACTACTTTGTTGCTTGTAATTTGAAATTCTCCTCTCATAGTATGTGGATATATTGTTGTAGATCGTCCAGAAGGACAACTTGCACTTGATTGGCCAATAAGACAACGCATTGCATTGGGATCTGCAAGAGGCCTTGCTTATCTACATGATCACTGTGATCCAAAAATTATTCACCGTGATGTGAAAGCGGCAAACATATTGTTGGACGAGGAATTCGAAGCAGTTGTTGGAGACTTTGGGTTGGCTAGACTCATGAACTACAAGGATACACATATTATCACAGCTGTACGTGGCACAATTGGTCATATAGCACCAGAGTACTTTTCAAATGGAAGGTTTTCCGAGAAAACTGATGTTTTTGGATACGGAGTCATGCTTCTTGAACTCATCACTGGGCAGAGGGGTTTTGATCCTCAGCTTGCGAGTGATGATAGTCTCATGTTAGTTGATTGGGTATGCACTTACGTCTTTTTGTTTGTGTATGTAGCTAACTTATTGTTATATGCAAGATTATTTCCCAACAACATTTGCATGAGGTCCACCTTCTGATTATATATTATCATTCTAAATCTTCCATAATATCTTTCATATTTTATATCAAAAAAGACATAATGTTGTTGAAATTCAACGTTATTCTAGCTTCAATCTATTTTGTGTCCCTAAGTCCAAATCTTGGAAATTATCAAAGTTTCAATACTCAGATTGTTGTAGAAATGTTATATAATGTACTGTAAATTAGAAGCCTCTCTCGTTACCAATGTTGCTTTTTATTTTAGCTGAAAATAATGGATCTCCTTATTTAATGATTTTATTTCAAACCGCTAATCTCTTATGACGTTCTAAATCATTCTGTATGGAACATTTCTGCAATAAGTTTAGTTCTTTCTAAAGATACTTTAAAAAACTATTACTCTTTATACAGCTGCCAAGTTCCTGTTTGATTAATGTATAAATCGCTTGTCTTTTTTGGCCGAAATGTTGAAAGCAGTTAGAATCATGGATCGAAGAAAAAAAACTAATTAGCTTTTAGAAAATAAGTATGGTTTAATTAGCTTTTATTAGTTAGAGTTATGATTAAGCTGTGAAGATTTATTTATCTTTATGTATAACAGTCTAACGTTTAATTTGTCAGAGATTAATTTTTACGTTTCCTTTGTTACTATTATTGTTGCTTCCTTTGCCAATATATTGGCCTTGCTGTGATTTCTTGAAGAATTTGGCATATGTTTCTTGAAGAATTTGAATTCATCATCTCTTTATTCTCACTATCTTGGCCTCTTGCTTCTTTCTATTCTCCCTATTTGCATCTTTGTCTTATCTTTGCATCATACCAATATTTGAATGACGGTACATTTTTGTAAGAAGTTTGATTTTCTGGAGAAAACGGAGAGAACAGTGGCCCTTCAAATTTTGAACATTACATTTTTCTCTCCTAGGTGCCCTCAGCTTTTGTTTCAAATTGTAGAACTAGCTGACATTTTCCTTATTATTTTGACTAAAAAAATTAGGTCAAACAGCTACTGAAAGATCGGAGGTTAGAAACACTTGTTGATTCTGATCTAAATAGAAACTATATTGACGATCAAGTAGAGCAGCTGATCCAAGTAGCTCTACTGTGCACACAAGGCTCCCCAAGGGAACGGCCCAAGATGTCAGAGGTTGTCCAAATGCTAGAAGGCAATGGTTTGGCTGAAAGATGAGAGGAGTGGCAGAAAGAAGAGGTGTTCTTGTGAAACCCCGTCCCTGGATTTCATTATTTAAAATAAGGTATTTTGTATTCCTAGTTTTGACGCATTTATATGTGTGGGGTTTGTTTTTTTTTCGAAAATGGTTAAAAGATGAAAATGCCCCTCTTGTGCTAAACAGGATTTTACATAGACGTATTTGATTCTTTCGTATTTTTCTATTGTTCTTGGCATATTTAGATATTACATGTAACTATAAATGCGCAAACGGATTAGAGTTTGAAATTCGAATGGGAAGGTTATGAATTTTCTAAATAAAATGACATTTTGGTAAATTAAAGTGGCATATTTAGATATTACATGTAACTATAAACCAGCAGTTTTGCTGCTGTGTTCTTCTCCTCTTTAATTCTCCTTCACTCCAAAAACTTCATTGAATCATAACTTTTTCGTACGGCAATGAAATCACGCACGGTCGAAGTCTATGTATTCGTAGCGCAGCCCTTTTCATTTTGATACCAAACCCATATGCTGGAACCAAGCGTGCCCATATGTTGAAGCCCAGAAGCTTTGACGATTTTCGTAGTTTTTTTCGCCGATTCTGGCTAACCTCGCTGGGGATAGGTCTCGACCCAAGAGAGAAAAATACTCCCCTCTTTATGCGCTTCCAGGATATGTAAGTGGATCTTCCGTATTTCAAGTTTCATTTTTGAACAAGTTTGAGATTTATGTGTTTAAGTTGAATTTCCGGTGTTCTTGTTGAGGAGTTGTGGTGGTGACATTGATTTAGCTAAGTGGTAGATTGATGAACAACTTTGGAGGAGTTTGGAGGGCAGGACAAGAACAAGAAAAGGTACATACTTTAATTTTATTGAATTGTTTGTAGTCTTTGGTGAATTGTTTGTAGTCTTTGGCTAAAAGAGGAAGGATTATGCATGATATGGGTAAGCTAACACATTGAAATAGAAGTTAAATATGATGCCTGGATAGTTTGGGATTGCCATGAAAATGTAAATTGGATTAAACGAGTATGGGTTCTACAATGCACAAAACTTGTTCATTTTGCAGAGAGAAACTATGTTTCAAGTAGCCTACTTTGGCTCTTGATTTCTATGTCCTTGTGAGTTCCTTTTGATCTAATATTGTGTGTTTTGAAAATAGACATGTCCGTGATCAAAACCCTTCTGATTTCACTTAATTCTGTTGTATTTTGATTGATCAAAAATCATGTCCAAAGTTGAGTCACAGGGCTGCCAGACAGCAGCAAGTTTTGTATTTCCAGTTTTGGGACTTCATTTTATAGTTGGAATAACTTTCAATTTAGGGCTTCGTTCTCTACGACTATTATATGATTTTAAAGTACACAAAACAAGCCTCCAAAAACCATTTAAGATGGTACCATTTGGTTCAAATTTGAGCGTTCATTATGAGCTTAAACTTGGTTGATCAAAGCAGTTACATGCAACTTTTGTATAGAAGAAGAGTTTTATTTCTACATTATGCAATTCTTATCCGAGTCTTTCTTTGAATTACTTTGCTTTATACTAGTGTTGTTATTTGAAGTATAAGTTGTACTAAAATAATGCCTATGCTACACAAGTTAATAAATTGTAATTACTCACTTCCAGCTTAAATTGATTCCTTCCAGCTTAGTTCCGTCTGATTTCTGATTTTTGAATTTGTGCTCAGTTTTTTGTTTGTTGAGATTTTCGGCCTACGGTCTGATTGACGTTGGGTTTGCTGGAGTTTACAGGTCTATGTGTGCAGCAAGCAAAATCCTTTCATTCATGTGAGCTTCTTGGGCCTCTTTACCTTCACAGCAGCTTACCTACCTGGGTCAGTAATCTTAAATTGATTTCTTGATTTCTGTTGTTGAATGTTTATCTTAAATTGATTCCTTCCAGCTTATTTCCGTCTGCTGATCTTTTGGCTCCAGAATACCATATGGAGACATATCATCTTTCTCTTCTCTCTCTCCGTCTGTCTTTCTCTCTTTATGAGCGCTGTCTTTCTTTCTTTAGGTGCGCACCATCAGGGGTCGGGCCGTAATTAAATCTTATCTTTTTGCTATATTTCTTTTACTTTTGAGTATTATGAGGGTGGGATTTTAGACTTATCAACGACAAAAAAAATTGCTTTCATTTTATAGGAGTGAAAGATTTGATTTTTCACGCATTTATCTTTTAATTTTATTTGTTTATTTAGTTTTCCCAATATTTTGGGTGAAATTCTACCCCATGCATTTGGGTCTTAGTCTTTTCTAGGCCAGTTGCTAGAAAAAAAAGGCGTTTTAGAGAGAGAAAGAAGACAGCTTGAAAAATTTAGTATCTTGAAGTGATAAAGCAAAGAGATTTCCAAAGTTAATCAAATTGTAATCGTCAGCTTGCTCTCTTTGGATTAATTGAAGCTTAAATTATAGATTCCTTTTCTGTGGCAAACCTTGATTTATCAGTGTATAGAAAAAAAAATCAATTCATTTCAGTTTAAATATTTCTGAAAAGTTAGAGATCGTTTTATTAGTTTCTAATTATATACTACGGAAAAGTTCAACATCTGCTGAGCACGTTGAGCGTTTGTAAATTAGCCAAATTATAGGGTCATGTGCAGGTGTTGTGTTTAAAACTTCTTTTTTTCACGAGTTTTTATTAAGCTTTGTGACTTTTTTTTTTTTTTTTTATCTGTTGATTTCTAAATTACTATAATTACGAACAAGATTAGTGAATTTATAATTTGCTGCTTAGCTTAACACGATCCTTGAATAAACTGTGGAAAAAGAAACAAGTTTTGCTGAAATCAATTTAAAGGCACAATAACAAAGGTATAAAAAAAAATCTATTGGATGATGTAATTTGGTTTGGATTTGTAAAGTACGCTTTTCAATGTGGATTAATTGTTTAAGTAATTTTAGATTATGCTGATTGTCTGTTTTCTCTTCTACTTATTTTGTGTTTTCCAACTATTTTTCCGTAATTGCCTTTTGTTTATATTATAGGACAGGTGTGTAATTCTTATTTTGATAATTTTTTCTCCTTTCTCTCTTTGATACTTTGCATGTGTATTCACTTGGGAAAAATACTTAAGTCTGAATGATATTAATGCTGCAGGATATATTTTCTTTTGGAGCCATAAAATCTGCAACAGTTTTCCAAGTATACAACGAGGTTGCTGGCCTTTCAGCACTTTGACTTTGGTTACACAGATAACACTGCAGTATACCATGCAAAAGGTTTTTTTCCTTCCCTTTTGCCCCTTTTTTGGGATATTAGTTACAAAATCTGTTTAGAGCATAGATGTGAAATTTACAGGACGGGTTAGTAAGTTAATTAGTTAATTTGATTCTCAATGGATATGAGTTATTGCGATTTGCAGAGATAGACTAAAGACTTGAGGAAAACAATGTTTGTTTTGAGTACTTCTCACGCCATCGAGGCATAAATGTTGTTCCTGCATTAATTAATTTTCTTTATATTGAAATTGAATAAATTTAATTTTCCTTGATATCCAAATGTATTGAAGTAATTTTGATTGAAGTTTGTTTATATCTGCTTTTCAAGATTCATTTTTTGGTTACCACATATCTCACTCCGTTTACGGTGTGCTTTTTTTAGTTAACTGAAGAAAAGGTTTTTTATTCTTTGGTTTTCAGGACTTCATTTACCGTTTACAAGTCAACCCCATAATACCAAAGTACAAGAGAAGCAAAGATTAGAGGTCATTTTTGCTCTAACTTGGAATAGTTTCTAAGATTTGTATTGTGCAATTGGCCAGTGTTAACTACTAAATCGATTAAAAAACATTATGTAGGGGCTGCGCTGCCATTCAATTACCTATGGAATTTATGACATGCAATCAGTTTCTTTTTAGTTGAGTTCAAATAATGTTGATTGCGCTGTTATAAAGCTCTTTTTTCTTGTTAGGTTGAAAATCTTATTGATATATTCTTTATTTAGTTGGTCTAATTTGTAACAGATGAGATTGTTTTGTTTGATGTTTCAATCAAAATTTGATCTTTTTTTTTTTTTGTGAAATTATAATGGAATTGCAAATCAAGTATATTTTAGACTCTTGATTGCATACTCACATTCCCACAACTGTTATATTATCTCCTCACTGGATGGATTTTTATAATTTTCTGGATCTACGGTTACAATGGTTTTTATAATTTCCTAGATCCATACTTTTTGTTTGTTCATGATTATGTTGAATGTTTTCCAGGTTAAATGCGTCTTATTCATGTAGTTAAGGCTGGTGTATTCAAGTCCTGCAGCATTGCGCGGGCATATTACTAGTAAATCCTAAATTTGAAGTTTACGTAATTTTATGTGATTATCTCATTGGAAGCTAATTCTTTTAGTTAATTTAACTTTATTTTATTGTAAAATATTTTTTGTGAACATTACCAAAAAAGTTCAAAATTCTCGTAGTCAAATTTTATTCTTTAGAACTACAATAGCTTCATTATTGCTATCATAGTCTATTATTTCTGGTCAGAATCAGACTTGGATTCTTTACAACCTTGGTCGGCTAAATGAGTTATTAATTAAAAGTAGCTAGATAACTATTTCGTTTTCAATTTTTAATGTTTAGTTTTTACTTTTTTATTCTGAAATTAATCAAAATAATTTATGAAATTAGCATCATTCATCAATTTGGTTCCTAAGATTTGAAATTGTTAGAAGTGATTTCTGAATTTGTTAACTTTCAATCATTTTAATAATTATGTTAAAAATCTCCATTAAATAAGGAGCAAATGATAAAAATAACCTTAATTCAAGGAACAATGGGCCATAATAATTTGACAAAAAATGAAGGTAATTTTGGTTTTTTGTACAAAATGATTAAAATAATTGATGATGAATAAAATAAAAAATCTTACAGCAAAAACAAAGTGAGGAATTGCATAACAATTTCAGGAATCGGCTAAAAAGTAAAAAATAAATATAAACAAAAGAAGAAACGAAACTTCCGACGCGGTGGGCTGCGACTTTGACCGATTGAGAGTCCTCCGTTTGCAGCTCCTCCGTCTTTCTCCCAAACCTTTTACCTTTCATTCTTCTCCAAAACAAGCAAGCTGAGATTTCAACCTCTCTCTCTCTAAGAAGCAGCGGCATGCTTTTCCAAACGCAATCTGCAATTTAATCAAACAGCCACCGACTTTTCTGGAATCCGGTCAACGCAGATTCTGCTGTTTGGCTTCTTTCACCTCCACAAGCTTGCTGCCAATGTCGAAGGTATATCTCTGTGTGTTATTGAATTTGGGAGTGTTTGGTTGTGGGAACCGGAATGAACTAATGAATGAATGAATGACTGGAAACATTCCCGAAGAGCTTGGGGGTTTGTTAGACTTGGTAAGCTTGGATCTTTACTTGACAACCTTGCAAAACCGCGTTTCCTGTATGAACCCCCATCCTTTTTTTTAGATAAAATCTATCGTCTTTCTTTTTTATTCGATATGCTAATCTGCTGTTTTTAATTGTTCCATTGGAAGTCCCGTGAGTTTCAAGATTCACAAGAAGGGAACATCCAATCATTGCAAGTCCTGTGAGTTTCATCGCAGTAAGAGGGAGGAGATAGTGAAAAGTTACTAATTTCTCTGCCATCGGAGAATGCAAATAACATATAGTTTTGCCGTGGAATGCAGGGATCTTTCAAATAACAATCTGACAGGGGATATTCGAGTTAATGGATCTTTTTCACTTTTTACTCCCATCAGGTTTGTTGAAGCAACTTTACTCTTTTTCTTTACCTTTAGGGACAAAAATAACAATCTGACAGGGGATACACTTTCATCTCAGTAAGCGGGAGGAGAGGGTAATATAGCTTGATCAAGTTGGTGTTGTAGTTGTTGTATGGGATGCAGGTTTCACTCGTCTACTGTCTTTGCAGCTCAGGAGGATCGACAGGTTCATTTACGACAGCTCAAAAGGTTTTCTTTGCGCGAGCTACAAGTTGCGACGGATACCTTTAGCAACAAAAATATTATTGGTAGAGGTGGATTTGGTAAGGTTTATAAAGGATGCTTAGCTGACGGAACTCTGGTTGCTGTAAAAAGACTTACAGAGGAGAGAACCCAAGACGGGGAACAACAGTTCCAAACAGAAGTTGAAATGATTAGCATGGGTGTCCAGCACCGCAATCTGCTTTGTCTGCATGGTTTTTGCATGACATCAACAGAAAGGCTGCTTGTATATCCTTATATGGCTAATGGAAGTTTGGCATCTTGTTTAAGAGGTGCTCATCTAAATTGTTTGCTGCGTTGATGAATCTTTTTGTTTTCACGACGTTAAAATTTTTTTCGATCACATTGATATAATGAATTTAAAAACCTGACCAATTTGGCATGGAGTATCAACACTGATTTTTTTTTTTTAATGTTTTTTTTTCCTTCAATTTTAAGTTACCTTCTCGATGCTGATTTTATTTCTGTTTAATTTGAAAAGGATGACACGAAGATCCTTTTTTGGGTAGGACGGGTGGTATGATATCTGTTAGACCACATTACCTGTTGCTTGTAATTTGAAATTCTCCTCTCATAAGTATGTGGATATATTATTGTAGATCGTCCAGAAGGACAACCTGCACTTGATTGGCCAATAAGACAACGCATTGCACGGGGATCTGCAAGAGGTCTTGCTTATTTACATGATTGCTGTGATCCAAAAATTATTCACCGTGATGTGAAAGCTGCAAACATATTGTTGGATGAGGAATTCGAAGCTGTTGTTGGAGACTTTGGGTTGGCTAAACTCTTGGACAACAAGGATGCATATGTTACCACACATGTATGTGGCACAATTGGTCATATGGCACCGGAGCACTTTTCAACTGGAGTGTCTTCCGAGAAAACTGATGTTTTTGGATACGGAGTCATGCTTCTTGAACTCATCACTGGGCAGAGGGCTTTCAATCCTCAGCTTGCGAGTGATGATGATTTCATGTTAGTTGATTGGGTATGCATTTACGTCTTTCTGTTTGTGTATGTAGCTAGTTTATTGTTATATGCAAGATTATTTCCCAACAACATTTGCATTTCCTTAGTAATTAGCTTTTAGAAAATAAGTTTGGTTTAATTAGCTTTTATTAGTTAGAGTTATGATTAGCTGTGAAGATTTGTTTATCTTTATTTATAACAATCTAAGGTTTAAACTATCAGAGATTAATTATTGCAATTCCTTAGTAATTGTTACTATTGTTGTTGCTTCTTTTGCCAATGTATTGGCATTATGTGATTTCTTGAAGAATTTGGCATATGTTTTGTGTCGATCCTAATTTCCTCATCATCTCCTTATTCTCGCTATCTTGGCCTCTCGCTTTTTCCTAGTCTCTCTATTGCATCTTTGTCTTTTCTTTGCATGATATCAATATTTGAATTTCTGTAGAAAATTGCGGGCCTTCAAATTTTGAACATTACAACACATTTTTTTCTCCTAGGTTCCTGCACCTTTTGTTTCAAATTGTAGAGCCACCCGACATTTTCTGTTTTATTTTCCCTAAAAAAATTAGGTCAAACGACTATTGAAAGATCGGAGGTTGGAAAGACTTGTTGATGCGGATCTAAATGGAAATTATATTGACGATCAAGTGGAGCAGCTGATCCAAGTAGGTCTACTGTGCACACAAGGCTCCCCAGGGGAACGGCCCAAGATGTCAGAGGTTGTCCGAATGCTTGAAGGCAAAGGCGAAGGTTTACCTGTAAGATGGGAGGAGTGGCAAAAAGAGGAGGTGATCCGCCAAGATTTCAACACTATTCATCATCCAAGTACTTGGATCCTAGACTCACCTTCTCCTAATTTTGTGTTGTACTATTTCTGTGTGTTTGAAGAAATGGATGAAAACAATGACATGTGATAGAGAGTTCATCATATAACTTCTGACTTTAAGGATTTTTAATTTAGTTCTGGTTCATGTTGCGCAAATAATATTAGGTAACACTGCTATTGGGGCTATTGCTGGAGGGGTTGCTGTTGATGCTGCTTTACCGATTGCTGCACCTGCAAGTGCACTTGCTTATTGGCGACGGAGAAAACCACAGGATCATTTCTTTGATGGACCTGGTTAGTGAACTATAGGAGTAATATAGCTTGACAAAGGTGGTGTTGTAGTATGGGATGCAGGTTTCACTAATCTACTGTCTTTGCAGCTGAGGAGGATTCAGAAGTTCTTTTAGGACAGCTCAAAAGGTTTTCTTTGCGCGAACTACAAGTTGCAACGGATACCTTTAGTAACAAAAATTTTATTGGTAGAGGTGGATTTGGTAAGGTTTATAAGGGACGCTTAGCTGATGGAACTCTGGTTGCTGTAAAAAGACTTAAAGAGGAGAGAACCCAAAGTTCGGAGCTACAGTTTCAAACGGAGGTTGAAATGATTAGCATGGCTCTCCACCGCAATCTGCTTCGTCTGCGTGGTTTTTGCATGACACCAACAGAAAGGCTGCTTGTACATCCTTATATGGCTAATGGAAGTGTGGCATCATGTTTAAGAGGTACTCTTCTAAATTGGTTGCTGCGTTGATGAATCTTTTTGTTTTCACGAAATTAAAAAATGGGTAAATTACATTTTACATTCTCAGGTTCGAATGTAATTGCAACCTCATACATCTTTAAAACATTTCAATCTCATACATTTACTTATCAATTTTAGCAATTTTATGCATCCGTTAGTCAAACCGTCAGTTTGACTGTTAAAGGATGACATGGCAAATGCGATGTCAACATTTTTGTTGACATGGATGCCAGCTATGATCCATGTGGAATAAAAATAAATAAAAAAGATTAATAAATAGAAAATTAATTATTTTTTTTATAATTAAAAACTAAAAAAATAGAAAAGATAAAAAAAATTGGTGTTGTTCATCCCTTTCCTGCTCTCACCCGTCCCCGCATTCTTTATTTCCCCCCGGCCACCATCGCCACCTTC